TTTTATTAATAGTAACTAACTAATATGTTGACGCACATAAACAATGAAAGATCTAGAATTAAAATATTTTTATAAATTTAGTTACAGAATGTTATTAAATTACATTTACAAAATTAATGCGATGTACTTTTTCATATATAACCTTTGTTAAGCTTCATTTTAGAACAATCGTAATGGAGCATCAGAGTTTGGACCAAAGATTTGTGGGGTTGTATAAAAAAGTGTATAGTTTTTGTTTTATTTATATTATAAAAGAAGTCTTCTAAAGTAAATAGGACATTTCTGTTGCATATGTTGATAAGTTAGATCATTTACTGATATGTTATCGGTACTAATATGAGATTCAAATAACGATAATTGCTTATCTTATAAGAAACTGTGTCAGTAGGAATGCTTATGACGACTTAAATGATTTATTCAAAATTATAAAAGGTGTTTTTCCTATAAAACAGGAGTTTTCAATAATATTTGTAGCAAAATCATCTATTGGCAATTATTAGTGTTGGTAAGATCCATTAAATCGTTTATTTATGTATTATTGGTATTAAAATTCATATCAATTGTTAAAGATGGTCTATATTATAACATTGTGAGAACTCGAATGATGAGATGCATGTTAGCGAATATAAGATTTACAAACTCCATTTAGTCTGTATTCAAGAAAGATCAGCCAAAATTGTTGAATTTAAATTGAGCATATCGACTCCATATATTTATCACCATTCAACCTAACACTGATACCCAATACTATTTTCTATTTTGTTCCACTGAAGATAAGTAACAACCAAATATTGCTTAGAATACAATATTTGGAGAATAACATTAAAGATGAAAAATAAAAACGGACGAAAACTTTTTATAAAATGTTGTGTCTGATGATTTTAATATAATTCAGAAACTAAGCTTTACAATCCCAAACTGACATCGGATAAATTAAAAGTCATTATCTACAAAGAGTTCGCTTCTCTGGGCTTATCATCATCTTTTATTATTATTATTATTCTATCATTTTTATTGTTATTATTATTATTCTTATTATTATAATTCTTTTATTATTATTATTTAATTATTATTATTCTGTTATTATTATTCTTTTATTATTATTATTGTATTATTATTATTCTGTTATTATTATTATTCTGTCATTATTATTATTCTGTTATTATTAATATTTTATTATGATTATTGTATTATTATTATTCTATCATTTTTATTTTATTATTATTATTATTGTATTATTATTATTCCATGTTTATTATTCCATTATAATTATTTCATTATTATTCTATTATTATTATTATTTTAATATTATTATTGTATTATTATTATTCAACTATTATTATTCTATTATTATTATTCTATTATTATCATTCGTTTATTTTTATTCTATTATTATTATCCTATTATTATTATTCTTTTATCATTATTCTATTATTATTATCATTCGTTTATTTTTATTCTATTATTATTATCCTATTATTATTATTCTATTATTATTCTGTTATTAACACTCTATTATTATTCTACCATTAATGGTTCCTTTTTTCTATAGAATTTGAAGTGTTTTATACATTATATTCGTCATACATGATCAGATAGATGTTTATTTATGTTTATTGTTTGATAATGGGATGGATATTACTGACCGATTTTTTCACTAAAAGTAGCATTCACATGTTAATAGCTGTTTAAACCTGTTTTTATATTATGCGACTTTTACATTTTCGAAAATAAGCATTTAACCGAGAAAAAAGTGTTTTTCGATAAATAGGTTATCCTAAAAAATTGTACAGAGATCCTGAAGGACATGCAACCTATGATTTATCAATAAGTCTATGATAAAATTGCACTTATTAATTTGTTTTAAAATTTTTAATATATTTTTAAAAAATATTTATAATACAGATAGTTCGGTCTATTTCGACCATCTTCAGTGTATAAGAGCAAAAAAAAAAAGCAAAAAGTTGGGCTTTTAGACTATACAAATCATGGAATTCAGTAGGGAGAAAACTTTTTTAAACAACGTGAATTGGTTTTAATAAAAAAAAAAACTTTTTATTGAAAAGCCATGTTCACTTTGAAACGTATCTCGTATTATTAAGCACTTCCTGTAAAAATCTGTTATCAAAAAGTATTGTAAAACAAAACTTAAAAGTTCATTGTAAAAAAAAATAATTTTTTGTAGAAATCACATGTATTTTACCCAACCAAAGTAATCTGCCAATCTTTTTTAAGGTATTTTATAATGTTATATATTATAATAGATAAAACTAAATATTTTATTTCAAAGTATTGTGCAATTTTAGTGCTATGAAAGTCTTGAGCTTAAGCAGGCGTAATAAATGATATATGTACCCAGACAAGTTATCTTTCTAGCACTTCAGACTAAACCAAACGATCACAGAACAAAGTTAATAATTTTTAATTTCTGTCAAGAAAAAGTACCTAAAAATGATTTCTAATTTATATTTTTGATATTTTTATTTCCCACAAAAAACATTTAATCCTCTTAAATGTGAAAAGAATACATTTAATTAACCAATTAAGATTGGTTGGTAATTTATTGATAAACAGGAAAGTAAAATAACTTATGGCTTTTATAAAAATTGGAATTGTAATTATAAGATTTTTCCAGATATTATAAATGGGCATGTCAGCCTGTGCTACTATATCAGAAAGATGCGGCCTGTATAATGACGACGTTCTGTCTTGTCTGATAGAATGTCGTTAGACAAGACATTTTATGCAACATTTTATGTACAAAAATTATATATTTAACAACTATAAAATGTCTGCAGTCTTCAACCACTAAATTGAACCAATAGGCCGAAAAATATTACAACTAGATTTGGTAGTACGAATAAGTAAACTTATACCTATCTCAAATTCTTTATTAGAAACCAATCCTTTTTGTAGTTTATCCACTTGTCAGATTGCATCATTACTTAGAAAAGCTAATACAGTCAAATAAATATCCTAATACAGGGTTATCTATTTATTATCTATAAGACGTAAAATTCTTTGCGAGTAAAACCTAACTCTGAAGATTTTAAAAGCATTGTTGTTGTTTCGTTTGCTTTCTTTCGTAAGTTGGGAGTATTTTTTTGCTACTCTGAAAGAAAAAATTACGACTATTCGCTATGTTCACGACAACTAATTGAGGCTTTAGGCTTAGTGCACACCTGCGTCATAAAAAATACTGATTAGTGTGCAGTCCTCAATACGATCTAATCTATCCCACAACCGCTTAGTGTATACGTGATCGGGATACTTTTTTTTATTTTTTTTTCTTTTATTATTTCTGGTTTTATTTCATATTTCTTTAAATTAACTATAATTCGCTTTACTATTTTAACAAAAAATATTGTTTTTATTTTTTTTTAATTATTTGGCAGTGTCGTTAAATAATTTATTTGTTTTTATTATATTTAAATTAAAAAATTTTTCTTTAAATGAATCATCTCCTTGCACATTTTTATTTTCGCCCTAACCGATTTTATTTTATCGAAATATATTGGTATCAGTTCTTCCAATATTTTAATAAATTTGATTAATAATTCCAATTAGAGCTGAATTAGAACTTCTCGGAACTTCTAATGTTTTTATTATAATTTTCTTATAGTTGTACTAATTAGAATTGAGGGATTTGAAAATTAATTAGTTCTTCTAATAATAGTTTTTGCAATATGTAATTTAGAATTCTAATTCGAGCTAAATTAAAACATCCCGGAGCCTTAATTGGGGATAATTAACTCTAAGTATATTTGTTACAACTTATGCTTTCATTCTAATTTTTTTTTACACATTATACCTAACATAATTCTAGGGTTTGGAAACTAATTAGTTTCTTTAATATTAGTTGCTCCAGATATAGCTTTACTACGAATAAATAATATACAATTCACTGTCTTAACCCACATATTAATTGTATAATACTGTGAAAATTTTCCGGTTTATAAAAAAATTTTTTAAATAATATTCGAAACAGCTGTATGGTCAGCTAAAAATTCAACTAATTAAAATAATATAAAATTAATTTTTGTTGTTGTAGTTCACTAATGTTTGAAAAACTTCTTTATAAATAAATTATTAAAATAATTTTTATGTATCTATACAGTAATTACATACATAATAATAATATGTAATTTTTTTTTTTTTTAATATAATATTAATTCAATAAAAATGATGTCAAATTCCGTACTTTTGAATTAAAATTTTATCAAATATTGCCGGGAGTATATTTACATGCGCCGCACGGCTTATCAATTTAAAATTTCTTCTACATAGGGAACCGGTTTGGTTATTTATTTTTAGCACATTTTATTGTAGTAAGGAGAACGATCATAAGTTCATTCGTAAGCGGAAAAAAATTGAATAAATTAGCAGAGTAGTTCAAAATCGAAGATATTTGGGGAGGGCCGCCAACTCCACCCCGACGACATTCAACTTCTTAAACTTCTCAAAGTAGTTCTAATATTAGAAACAAATATTACTGATAATGGAATTATGTGATTGTAGGGGTATCAATATCCGTCACAACAACAACAATATTTAATAATATAGATAATATTATTTAGCAATAACAAATATATAATTTTAATAGTGGCAGGTGCGAATATTTTACACATAAACAAAAACAGGTAACAAAGATTTGAAGGTTCAATGCACTCTAAACTGATTCTTTTGTGCTAAATAGTTGTCGTTTAGCCATTTAAAAAATATTAGTCATAAGATTCCACTTTCGTTAACAAAAGATTTGTTCTTCTCTTAATTAAATATCGCACATATTTGGTATTTTACACTAATTCACTCGTAAACTACCTGTAAATTGAAGGTCAACAAATGGAAGGAGAAAATTCATACACTTTCTTAGCGTAAATAAAAACTGTATAGTAGGCGTTATGATGAAATATAATTAATAATTCAAAAGTCAATGCACTTTTGATGCAAAATTAATTCAAAAAAATTACAAAGCAAAAAAAGAAAATTTATTCACTCACATTTTCAACAAATACTCGTTTATTTTTTTATTTTGATGTTATTAATTTAATTATTATTGCACCAAAATTTTTATTATAATTATTATATATGCACAGAACAAATTACAAAAATATTTTTTATTGAAAAAATAATTAATTTTTTTAGATAAAAAATTGCACTTGTTAAATCCTTTGTTAGTTATGTTTCGCTACATACTACACAATTCTTTGTTTAAATATGGTACAAATTTTTTTTTATGTTTTAATTCCATCACATTTTCTTTGTCACTAAGAACTATTTTATTACAACTCAATGAACCGAAAAACTAAAACTAAACTCCAAATTCAATCGCGCAAAACAATTTACTAAAAACGACGGTGAGTGTTGTTTTGTTTATACGTGCAGCCGTTTATGCGATTTATGTCTGCTTGTATGATTAGTGTTCAAAAACGTTAAAATTCTTTTTGAGTGGAAAGTTAAGTCAATAAAATTAACAATTACACAAACATAAAAGATGAACTTTTTAATACTGGATTTATAGAAGAATTTTTAAAGTAATGTTAGCTGTCAATTGTTGTTGCTTTTAATGCATAATAAAAATTGTTGATCAAATAAAATTATTCTTGATTTCGACAGCAAAATAAGTTCAAAACAGAAAGATTTGTATAGGAATTTTGACAGCTTAACACATAGTTGAATTGTAAATTCTACAAAATCAAATTGGTTTTAACTTGTGGTATACAAATTTATGCTATTGTGAATAGTTTTGAGGAATGAATAAAAGTTTTATACAAATCTGAAAGTCAAATTACAATAGTCGTCATTTCAAAGTAACAAACAAATACTCGCAACTTAAGCATGACATATATGCGGTTAAATCACACCTTTTTTCAAAGTGTATAGCAGAGGTCACATCTCGTCTGCATACTTGGTATGCAGACATGTAGCACCGTCTATATCATGCTCTACGAAAGAAAACATATGAAACAACAACTTTGCTCTTAAAATATTGAGAGTAACTTACTCTGAGTAATTTAATTTTAGTGCAGGTGAATTCAAAAATCAGTCTATTGTGAATGTTCACTGCAAAATTAGTTATCCGTAAAAATTATATAAGCATTTCATTTACTAATAAGTTGAAATATATAAATAAATAAAAAAATTTAAATATACAAGATAAAAATGCTAACCATTGCCATTCTAATATTCATTTTGTTTCCTTTTATTTAAATTAATTAATTTTTAGTGTTAAGAATTGTTGTATATCATATTGTGCAACGCAACAAAAAATATATTTCAAAAATAAGATTTTAACATATTTTAAAAGTGTGTATGAACAGATATTTTTACTTTTTGATTTCAGATGTCAGTTTAAAAATTTTTGACAACTGAAATTACAACTACAATTCTCATGTGAATCCAATAAACAAAAAAGCTTGTTATGGAATAGCTTTTCATAACGTTAGTATGAATAACTATTTCTGATAATTGATAATAAATTTTTTTTTAATTTGTTGTTTTATTTTATTTTGCGCTTAATTCATTTCAATAAATCAATAAACATTTTGTATTTAGAAAACACAAAAGCATGTAAATTAATACAATTTCAATTTAAAATTTTAATATTTTTCAAATTCTTTTTGATATATTGAAATTAACTCGTCAATTGTTCAAAAATAGTTCAACAGCTGATAGCAATTTATTTTTGTGTATTGGCAACTCTACTTGTATAAATATAGTAGACGTAGTGCAGCTGCACATGGTAAATTATATTTAAATAAGAATATTTAAAATGATAAATTTACCAGGTGAATTTATTGACGATATTGAGGATTTAATATCTTCAGATGATATAAAACCAAAGGAACGTTATCAGAATAAAAAAAGTGTGACTGTTCGAGCCAAAAAACGCATAACCGTCGAGTCAGACACAAAGCCGGAGTCATATCCAGAAAAGACAATATATGAAAGTGTCATACCCGGTACTCAAACAATCTTTGTCAAAACATGGGGTTGCGCGCACAATAATTCAGATTCAGAATATATGGCAGGTCAATTAGCATCCTATGGCTACAAACTTACTGATAGTAAAGAAAATGCTGACCTCTGGTTGCTCAACAGTTGTACTGTGAAAAATCCATCGGAAGATACATTTCGAAATGAAATTGAATCGGGTATGAACAAAGGCAAACATGTTGTGGTAGCTGGTTGTGTTCCTCAAGGTGCACCTAAATCAGATTACTTGCGTGGACTGTCTGTAATTGGAGTACAACAAATAGATCGCGTTGTAGAGGTTGTCGAAGAAACACTTAAAGGACACAGTGTGCGTTTGCTGCAAAATAAAAAAGTTGATGGCAAGCGTTTAGCTGGCGCACGTTTAGCATTACCAAAAGTACGTAAGAATCCATTAATTGAGATAATAGCTATAAATACTGGTTGCCTGAATCAGTGTACCTACTGCAAGACCAAACATGCACGTGGCGATTTGGCTAGTTACTCACCTGAAGAGATAGTAGATCGTGCTAAACAGGCATTTGCTGAAGGCTGTTGTGAAATATGGTTGACATCGGAGGATACAGGTGCATATGGTCGCGATATTGGTACTTCGTTACCTGAGCTATTATGGCAGTTAGTAGAAGTGATACCTGAACATTGCATGTTACGTGTTGGTATGACCAATCCACCATATATATTAGAACATTTAGAGGAAGTTGCAAAAGTGCTACAACATCCACGTGTCTATGCTTTTCTACATGTGCCTGTGCAAAGTGGCAGCGATAGTGTACTGGGAGAAATGAAACGCGAATATTGTCGTAAGGATTTTGAACATGTTGTGGATTTCTTACGTGAACGTGTACCTGGTGTCACCATTGCTACAGATATTATATGCGGATTTCCTACTGAAACTGATGATGATTTTGAGGAAACAATTACTTTATGTGAACATTACAAATTTCCGAGTTTGTTTATAAATCAGTTCTTTCCCAGACCAGGCACACCTGCAGCCAAAATGCAGCGTATACCAGCGAATTTAGTAAAGAAACGCACCAAACGACTTACGGAGCTATTCAACAGTTATGAACCGTATGCTGGTCGAGAGGGACAGGTCTACACTGTTTTAGTAACAGAAATTTCACATGATAAGCAACATTATGTTGGGCACAACAAAATGTATGAGCAGGTGTTATTGCCGATGCGAGAGAATTTATTAGGAACAGCAGTACGTGTACGTATAACCAAAACCACCAAGTTTAGCATGTGTGCGGAAATACTGGATGAAGAAAACGATTGGACGCGGTGTAGTAAAAAATTCGAGAGTAAACCGGCTACGATTGGAAATCGCACATTTAATCGTTATTTGGGTATGGCGCTTATTGCTGGATTTGTTGCTTTTATTTTACAAATTATAATAAAATTTATTTAACTGTGATTCAAGTTGTGTCTTATTTTAAAAAGTTTGTTTCATAATTTTTAACGTTTTTAGTCCAGCAAGAAGTTTTTTAAATTTTTTCAACTACTGGCATTTGTACTCACACACAAAGGCACCCAAACTGGGAACAGTTTTATTTTGAGAACATTTGCAACAAAAACACCGAGAACAGTTTATTGTGAATTTAAAACAGTCAACAGCTGATAAAAATGACGTTTGATTCAGTTTCTTGTAAAATTCGAACAAAGTAGGTTTTTATTTAGTTTTAAGTTGTTAAGAGTGTTATAAATATTATTTATTATACTTGTTAGTTTTTTTACAATGAAATTACACACTGAAAAACAAAAAAACGATGAAATCAAAAAGCATTCAAAAATTAAACACACATCTGCAAGAGCAAGAATAACCAATCAAATCAATCAATTCTGGAGTCGTCATCGGAACGCTGATGAAAACTGGTACACATATTTGTTTTTTGCTGTGCTGCGTTTCGTATTAGTTTTTATACCACAACTAGGCTATGTGCATCCTGATGAATTTTTTCAGTCCGTCGAGGTGATAGCAGGTTTGTAAATATAAATATCAATAAAATGCGAACATTGAGAAAATTATAATTTAGGTGATCACTTTCAACTGGAGCACACACGCACTTGGGAGTTTAATAACACCCTACCAGTACGTAGTATTACATTGCCTTTTCTACTTTTACGTGTACCTTGGAGTTTTTACGAATTCATCGCTACTGTTTTACAAAATGCTACTCATATTAAGTTACTACATAGCTACATATATCTCGTCTTTCCACGCCTTATAATGTGTTGTTTATCTTTCATAAATGATTGGAGCCTTTACCATGTGTGCCGTTTGTATGGTTTGCGCTGTGAAATCCGTCTCTTAGCATTGGGTAGCTCGTGGGTGATGCTTGTGTTTGGTACACGCACATTTTCAAACACTATCGAAATGACGCTGTGTTCATTACTTTTGGCATTGGTAGCGGATAGTATGATAACAACAAATACTATTGTATACAAAAAGGAGTATTTGGAAGAACGTTACATAAATGCTGTTTCCATTGGTGAGAAAGTAAGAATTTGGAAACTTAAAACCACACTTCCCACACATAATTATAAATATATGCTGCTACTATCTACGATATGCGTTGTAGGAGTTTTCAACCGTCCAACATTTTTGCTGTTCGGTGCACCAATGGTCTTTTATTGGTTACTGCGTGGCATGGGCACTAAAACGATAACATTTACAGATTTTAATCTTCGTATATTATTATTTTGTGTTAGTGCATTACCAACGATTTTGGTATTTATATTTTTCGATTCCATTTATTACAAGTACCTAACTGCTGGTGAACTACAAATATTTGATATTGGCATCAATAATTTTGTCTTTACACCATGGAATTTTATAAAGTACAATTTGGATCCTAGTAAAACAGCAGAACATGGCTTACATCCTAAATATACGCATCTTTTGGTAAATACGCCTCTACTATACAATGTTCTTGGTATAATTGCTTTAATTTCATTTGCACACACCATGATAAGATTTTTCAAAGCTGAATACCAAGGTTTACCACGTGCACAGAGTATTGTGGGTCTGATGTTGGGCGCTATATTTGTGCCATTATTTTTCCTTTTACTAATCAACCATCAAGAGGCACGTTTTCTTATACCCTTAACATTCCCGATTGTCTTATTACATGCAACAAAGTTATTAACTGGGTTTTGTATAACTTATCCGTTCAAGGAAGAGCATTGGATATTACGCCAATTTTATAATAGAGTGCTTTGCACGCAGGCATCCGCAAAATATTTGCTTAAGACTTGGTATATTTTTAATATAGCGCTCACTGTATTCTTTGGTTTCATACATCAGGCTGGCGTTTTTCCATTGGCACAACATTTTGAGCATGCAATGCAATTCAAGCCAAGTGGTGAACACTTACACCTAATCACATCGCATATGTATGATATGCCACTGTCATTTGTTAATATACCCAGCTCGCGTACTTTACTCTTCGATCGCAATACTGGACGACGTTATCGTCGCAGCAAGGATTTTTATTTATACGAATACGGTAGTCTTAATTTGGAGAAACTATTACGCAAGATTAAACTTTCGCTATCAAATTGTGAATTTAAGCGCAACTCAAAGCAAATAAATTATCGCCTTTTTCTTGCCATTCCAACATCTTTGAGTGATGATTTTGCCTATGTCGTGGACAAATCTAATTCAAGTTATTTACACTTCGAACTGCAACGAATTTTCTATCCACATTTATCAACTGAAGCCTTTCCAAGTATATTTGGACGTCATATTTGTGATGTAGATCCACCTGAATGGTCGCAGGATGATCTAAAAGGTACATGCTCTATAGAGCCAGAACCTTCATTGAGTTTCGACTATGTAACACATCAATTTTCATCATTTATACATCAGTTTGGTTTGGCGTTATATGAGATCAAACTCAAGAGTCGTTCACCATTGAATGTTTATAAGAGGGGAACAATAACAAGATCCAGCAAATAAATTGCTAAAAGATTATTTTTAATTAATCATTTTTATCTAGTCAAATTTTATATTAAATTCCAAAGACTAATTTATTGTATATTAAGTTATATAAGTCACATTCCATTTAAAAATATTTTCAATCCAAAACTATTAAAAAACAAATATTGCTATTTGCTTATGAACTTACTTAATTTGTGTGCTGTTTTGACTAAAGGTCAAAGTTGTTACATTGTCAGGATTTGGTCAGCAGATTGGTTATAAAATCAGTGATCTAAGTGGATGCCATAAAAAAGTAGATGTAGTCTAAATATTAAAATCAAAAGTCAGGCTATGCAAGTTTGAAAAGCGCAATAACTTACCTTACAGTAAACAGGTTGCAGGTTGTTTCTATAGACACTGCAAAATGGTTCTATACTATAAACCAGGGCTGTCCAAACCAGAGAAGATCGTGAGCCAATACAAATCACTGAATAGGTAGAAGGGTCGTAGATATACACACGTTCATTTATTGCCATACGAAAAATATTTAATTTTTATATAATTATGACTGGATACCACTTTTTTTTACCAGTTTACAAAGAAATATATATTCAAGTCTTTACCAATAAAGTAAATTAACGTAAAGTGTAATAAATTGTTTAAAAAATTTTAATTCATTAATTTGGGATACCACAAAAATAAATTAGTGTAATGTAATGAAAATTTTGCCTAATTGTAGTAGATTAGGTTGCACATATATTAGCGCGGATTCTAATAAGTTTGGAACCAATACTACACAACCTTCGACAGGACCTTCAAAAACAGCTGGTATACCACCAATAATTCCAATGGTTTCGGGACAATTTTTAATGGCACCACCAATTGCCAGACAATGCCACCTAATTATGTTTTTAAAACGACACTCACTGATATTAAAAATTACAAAATGGGAATAGATTGGTCTGAGTCAAGAAAAGTACATATTAAAAACAGCTTATGGAGACATTCAAAATAATCACCCGTAATGATTGTTATAATGAGTTAAGTGGGAAATGAATTTTTCTATAATATATATATATATATATAATTAGCAGAACTTTGTTTTTGATTTTCGGAAGAAACTGTTTAACCATCCCGATTCTTTTCAAAAAACCTGAAAGTTATAAAGCCCTAAAATAAGTGAGTAGTTCTATATTCCAAGAGTTATGGACCAGAACTTTTCAGATTTATATAACTATTTTGAGTTCTTGAGTGCTAATGATGGGACGATAATGAAATCCCTGCTAAACTTGTAGAAAAGTGTGTCGAGATCATCTCCGTATAACTCAAATTTCTAAACAGTTGCTTATAAATAAAACATAAAACATGAACTATATGCGAAAGAAATAAAAACAAATAGTCAGCTTAGGTCAATTTAAAGTGGCGGCCTTGTGCATCAAAGCGCACTTACGCTCGAATAATGATGTTTCGTGATATTATGAATAGGAGTTGAAGAATGAATAGGAGCGAACAAACAATGCTGAAAGACATTCAGTCATTCATGGCTTGATAGCGCTCTCTATTCACCATACTGGCAGCTACTTCCTCATTTCGAAACAAATAAGGACTGATGATGCCACCAGCGTGTAAACAGTCAATTGTAATGGGTGTAATGGTGTTTTGTCAACCATCGGCCATCTAGGGCGATTATGTTGATCTTAAAATGGATGAAGTGCCAAACCTTACTAAACAGTAATGTCAACACAGTTTGATATTCTCAGCTGTCACAGCATAGTTATCGATTTCGATAGTTCTCATACAGCCTAAAAAATTACCCTATATATGTATATTATTATTATTATTAAATAATAGGCTAAGAATGCATACCGACTTAAAAGATTTATTGTTTGCCTAAAGGCCCAACTGAAACAATTCTAGGCTATTTATAAATCTCATAACTGCTGTGGGCTTAATTTTACCTATTTGATTTGGGACTAAGATCCCGCTTCTGATGTTTCCTTCTCTTCATGACAGAGTTGACAGGAATTAGTTTCCACCGCACCTATAATCTTCATGTGGTAATTAATTCTACAGTTTCCTGTAAGAAGTTCAGTGTATATTTCAATATTGTTTTTGCTATGGTTAAGTATAGCGTCAACTTTCATGTGTTCAGGATCAGTGAATCTTTTTGACTGTCGTATGCTCTCCAGTGTTCAAGCTATTTGTTACCCCGCAGAAGGACTCTGGACCAATGAAAGGAGTACATGCACCCTTCTTTGCTAAGGAGTCTGTTATTTCATTGCCCTCATGCTCTTCATGCCTCGGTACCCACATAAGAGTTACATAGTTCCTCGATGGTAGGATATTAAAAATTTGAAAGCATTCCCAGATCAACTTTGATTGGATTGAAGAGTTTCCTAAAGATTTTAGAGCTGCTTGAGTGTCCGAAAGAAGGCATATTTGGGTACTACGGGTGCCTCTGCATTGGGACTCTCTCGCATTTAGTTCTAAGGCATGGAAAATGAAAGCGGTTTTTCCCATTGCGATTGCTTTGAGGAATTTCGGTCCTATAATTCATGCCCTTGCTCTGCCATTTTCCATTTTGAATCCATCAGTATATCATAATGGCGAGCCCTGCTTTAAGATAATCTCATTATTTCTCCAACTGATGACCACTTCGAATTCACTGGAGAAAGCTATATATGTATATAGCATTAATCTTCATAATTTGATTCATAATTTTTATTTTAAATTTAATTCAAAAAATTAAATTAAATTAAATTTAAATCAAGTTTTTTGACTATTTTAAATCAAATCCTTTTATTAAATTAATTTAGCAAGCTCGATGCAGATAATTTTGCCAATTTCCCAATTAAGGAATACCTATATGATATACATATATTCAGATTCTCAACACACTGACCTCAAATCGAATAATTAAGCAACTAAAAACTGAATGTCCTTTCGAAATGGTCAAACAATTGATCAGAGATTAATTGCATCTACAGCACAAACGAGAGTTAAACGCTTGCTTGCAAGTTGTAATCCAGTCACAAGGACACATGCAGATGACTTGGACCATGAACGTAATATCGTCTGCATAAGTGGAAGTTGGGACACAAAATGCGTGTAAGTTTGTTTGTGGCACCACACCATGTGGTGTGCATTCATTGTTTGAAGTGCATTGGAGGAAAAGTAGGTTTGTCTGAGCACTAATTTATGTAAAAGCATGCACACTACAAATCCTTTTTTGTGGTACAACATTGTTTTAATATTTTATTAAATTATGAGGAACAACATCGCACATGCTTGTCCTTTTTGTTCTACAAAGCAGACTTAAATTAAACTTAAGTTTTAATAATCATGACAATTGATATTGCAGGAAAATAAATCATTAAAATTCAGGGCAACTGAAAGATGAGGCAACAAATTTTTTGTATCCATTTTACATGTTATTACATATTTAGGACCCTGTCGGTGGTCGTAAAACAGCAACATAATCATGTCAGTGATATAACTTAATACATGAAAAAGGGCTAATATTTATGTTATAAGCAATATGTGTTTATTTTGAAACAATTAAGTTCCCTAAACTTACGGATTATGTGAGTCAAAAGTGACTTTGAAAAGATGTAATTCTTGTCTTTTTTAGTAGCGAGATAGAAGTACCTTAGATTATTTATTTTCGTGAAATTAGTATTAGTATTAAATTAGTATTATTGGTTAAAAAAATAATAATATTCATTTATAATACGGTTTTATATCTGAAAAAAAATTTTGAACTGAGTAAAGAGAAAAAATTTCAGTATTTCACAAAGAAGTACTTGATTTGTTGAGACTACATAATGTTACCAATTCTTAAGACATCAATAGTAGGCAAGCAGGCGGGGTAAAGAGTTACCGATACTATATTAGAGTTCTTAATATAGGTAAAAATCTTTATATTCAGCTTTAACGAGTTTAAGTCAATTTATTGAGAATAGAAATAGAATATCTTATAGAGTTTCTTTAACAACTGTTTTCTTACACTTTCCATATTCCTTACTGCTGGTAATATTTAACTTATAAATATGTGCTGTTATCATATAGAATGCAACGATATATTTTGTCGGAATTGCAGCGAATTTAATCTAACATTTTACATCTCCATACTTTCGATTTTCACTCCGAAAACTTTCCTCAGAGTATATATTCGTATTACCAGGAGCACGTATGCATAATCTTGAGTCACATATATACTTTAACTAAATTTATATATTCCTTATAATAAAATATTTAAACTTTACTTTCCACAACGTATATAATCAATATTATACTCCACTATTTGAAATTAGGTGTTTTAACAGTAGATGTACCTGCGTTCTGCATTCTTTAGTAATATATTATATTAAAATATTTTCGCTTAATAATCCATTCCGATGCTCTTTTATACCTTCAATTTTCAAATACAATGTTCTACATAAAGCCATATAAAGACATATATAATACATATATAATCCTATTAGATAAGTATAGAAAATTTCTGCCATTTTGAGACTGACTGAGGAAGCAGAATGTCGGCTCTGCTTAGAAACAGATCAGACCCCTTGCTACATTCTTAGTCACTCTTCGACTTTGATCTGGAATGTTAGGCATATTCTTGACTGCATGTTTCCGTGACCTATCAGACTACTCAATTCTTTTAATTCTGGTCATCGTTTCAAGCATTGAGTGTCTACCGTTCAGTTTCTAGTGCGTTGATACAACTATATACTGAGGGACAGTATCCAATTATAATACCAATTACCATTAATATTTTATTTAAATGATAGAACGCATTTAGCATATTTTAAAACCATCTGAAACCTTTGGTGAAGCTTAAAATGTTTTTTAATGGGAGGTCTTGAAGTTAATCAAGATCCTCAAAAAAGGGGGCTCCTAAAGTATTGGGTTGCCGCCGTGCATTAGCTGTGGAAACACATGGCTCACTGCAAAGTTGATAACAATTTTTAGACTCATATGGTCAGAAACCCCTTATATATACACAGAACAAGTATGTGGGCATTCTTTATATGGAATACTTCTTTATTTAGGCGACAGTGAAATCCACAGTGTTTGTTTAAGAACCTTCACAGAATATGCTGTTTCTGAAGTTCGACAATTGGTGAAGTTTCTATATTTATATATATATTTTCAATATATATTTTCTTCGTTTTTTAAAAACTGACAATCCGATAAATACACCATCTTACTGGTATTTGTCTCTATTTAAAGTATTACTATTGGTTAAAGTGAACTTCATCAATTAATAAAATTTTGCGGTAAGAAATAAGTTAAATTCTTATCATTATGGGGCCCATTCCTTTTAGCCAGAAGTGAAACTATTATCATGGTGGTTCCATTCTAGCATCAATTAAAGTTGGTTGTGATATAAGCCAAGACTCTTTGGTAAAATTGTTTACACCACTAATAGACAATGATCATGTTCTTGTGAACAAAATCAAAGCCATAAATACTCGGTACTGATCCCAAGGATGACTTCAATGCGCAGTTGGATTCAGTTGATCTATAATTTGGTCGTAACGTTAATGTAGCTATGTACTGAGCAAACGTCTTTTAAGCGTCGAATTTTACCTTATAATTTGCTAAGCAATTATCCGTGATACAATTTTTTGAGTGTTGCCACCTTAAAAAATATGTACATATTTTTATATAATTTATAAGAAATAAATTTCAAAATTGTTTTTTGTGTGAAATTAATTTTATGTTTATTAATTTTCAAAAATGTTCTACTGTTTTCATGTTGGTATATTTATACTTAAAGGCAGACACAGTACCAAGAAAAAAGTCTTATATATAAAAAGTGTTTACATGAGACTTAAAAATTATTTAATTAAAATAGAATAAAAATTTAAAATACGCTTAGCATATATAAAATCGTGCATTTGTTATGGAAAATATTTTTTTACTTCTGATATATGTGATGTTAAATGTTTATGTTTATATGAAACTTGTGAATATAAGTAAAAATTAATACTATAAAAGGAGAGGAGATCATTGAACTCCTAAACCTAATCCGCATCCTCAAAGACCAAATCATCTTCTTCATGCCAGCGAACATTACGTGAACTGTAAAAGTTGTAGGTATTGGATTTTTCAAAGAAAAGAAAATCAAGTATTACTACAAAATATTAACATTTTCAATAGCGTGGATAGAACCTGGTCATCGTGTCAGGAAGTGGTGGTGGTGGTGGTGCGGTTCTTGGTGGCGTACGTCGAGCGCTAGAATTAATTATTTAATCAATCAATATTTTAATAGATCAAAAAAATACTGAAAAGACTAAAATTAAACTTACGCAGCAATAGCAGCTGGATTAGTTGCGGTGGCAGCACCATAAATCTCACTGTCATCTAGATCGTAGTCTTCAGTACCGGTACGTTGTCTATATGAAGAGTACAATTAAATAAAAATATATAGAAATTTTTTGAAAATGGGCTATAAACCAAATTACTAAATAACTTTTGTTGTTTCGTTAATTATAATGAATCCACTTCAAACTACTGAAACTCTTTTAAAGGACTGTAAAATAAATTCCCTGTCCGAGTTACTTACAATCTTCTATTACGACCGGTTGACGAAGTCATGATATTTTCAATAGCTCTAGATGTAAGTGAGACTCTACTTCTCAAACGCGATGGAGTTCTTGGTTGTGGAACGGCAGGTTGTGCATCTGGATTGACTGATAAAACTGGTGTAGCTGGACGTCTTCTATCTTGTTCAAAGCTCTCATCTTCAGTACGACGTCGCCTTTTTATAATTTATAGAATTAATTAATAATATATTTAAAATTTAATTTTTTATTTTTAAATAACTTGTTAAGTTTTTCTAACGACTTGTCATTTATATGCTTTTCAAGATCTGAATATTATACTTTTGCAACATAATTTAGTTAAGGACTTGTAGACGATTAAACACTAGGCCCTTAACAGATTGAGCACTAAGTATACGTGTTATATGACTTACGTTCTAGGCATGCTGCGATCTTGTTGTTGCTCTCTTCTACTATCTCGTCGTT